GAAGAGGTTTGGGGTGAGAGATCATTGAGAGGATTCATTGAGTTTTTCAAAGTCGAGTTTTCCAAAGTCAAATAGTCTTCAGTAGAAGTCGGATTTGTCAAGGCAATGAGAAGACAACAGTTTTGGACATCTTCTGCTTTCCTTTGTTGACTTGGGCTTTGGGTGAGGCCAAATGACGAGGTGACCTATGAGCAGGAACAGGCGTATGGAACTGTAATGAGGGATCAAGGTCTTGAGGCGCAATAGAGGGCTCGTGGACACAGACACTGGGGATCGGGTCTTGAGGCGGAATAGATGAAGGTTGAGGGGGCTCTTCAGGTATTGGATCCACAGTTAGAGATATTTCTGGAGGAATAAGTTCCTCTCGCAAAGTCTTTTCAAATGCTTGAAGCCTGTCCATCATATCTTTTGAGTTGGAGGGATGCCATCTTGTGTCTGTTTTGACTTGAGCATACCATTCAAAAAAGAGCTCATAAGCCTGCACACCAGTTCGCATGTGTGTAACAAATTCCGAGGCTGGAATTACAACATCCCAGGCCATCTTGACATCATTAGACAGAGGATACGGCATAGGTACCATGGGGGGAGGTGCGGTGAACGGGGTCCCAAAGAGTCGAAAAAAATGGGCAGAAGCTTCCCTTTTCATGCGAGGGAGATTGGAAGGTCGTCGACAAAGGTCCTTTATTGAATTGGAAACAATGTGTTTGGTGAGGTCGCAATGGTCCGCTGAAGGTCGTTTTTCAGTGTAAGCCGGTGGTGGTGATACCAGCAACGCCTGAAGCGCTCCGCTTTTGGACTTTTTTTTTGGAGCGGGACAACGTCCCCCTACATTCAGGACCCGCTCACGCTCCGCCACAAAGAACAGCCCGCTACACAAGTCTTGGAGCGTGGCGCCGTTTCGCTCTGCCCTTGCTCCGCTCTGGCAATTTTCAAACTGATAAAGCGGGCTGGGGCGCTCAAAAGTATTCACAATTTTTTTTAATATTAACAATGCAAAAAATGATTATGTACACAAAACAGAGAGAGACAAGATCAAACTAAAGGAACGGATAATAAAATTAAAGAGAGACTTTGAACTTGAAGAGACCACAAATTGAATACGATAAATGAGAACAGAGATTGGACTGAATCAATAAACAAACTAACAATAAGATTAAAGAGAGACTTGAAAGTTGAAAAGACTTATAAGATAGATAAGAAATAAAAGAGATGAGAAAACATCAGGAAGTAAACGATTCAAAATAAACCATAACAAACAAAACTATGAAGGCAATACTTCAAAGTTGATTGATCAGAAGAAAGAGGCAAAAAAAAAAAAACAGCAGGCACGAGTATAAAATAGTAAATTGAAAAAGTGAGAGAAGAGTTAATATAAGATGTGATTTGTTTCACTTGCTTTTCTTCTTGTTATTAACAAAAGAAGCAAGATAACTGAGAGGTTCAGTGAATTGGTCCGAAGTCATAATTCCTTGTCTCAACCACTCCCTACATCCAACGGTGTGTGAAATGGTCTGGGGTTTCAAGGAGCCTTGGCCTGGAATGGCAATATCAGCTGCTGAAGAGAATGTGTGTTCAACAGGACATGACACAGCTGACCCAGTCCTCAGTGAGTTGCGCATCTTTGCGCCCTGAGGGTAGATGTAATTTCAACTCTTGTGAGTCTACCTGAACTTGTGAGGAATTTCCCTCCCAATTTGAACTACTCTTACCGCTCGGGGTCAGGGTAGTTCGCTTGGGGCAATGGCGCAGCCATGCTCTAGGTTTGGTTTGCTAGAACCAAACTCAGACCATGGTTGGTTCGAGAGAACCAAATGCCTTGGTTTTCTCGAACCAACTCCTCCAGAGGTTTGGTTCACTTGAACCAAACCTCAATATGGGGGTTTACTGAGGCCTAGGACTCCTCCATCTAGTCGACGAGAGAGGGTGCTCGGCGCCTAGCCTCCTAGGGCTCACCCCAAACGCAGAGCACGCACTTATCACTCGCGCGTGCGCAAACAGTTAAGGTTTCCTGAAATTCGGCTGCATACGCCATCAACTGTATTTCTCAATAAGGTTTCCTCGTGTCTCTTCCATTCCCTTGTCGATCATTCTTCTACAGTCGATTTTCACATCAGGAGGTGTTCCTTTCGTCTAAGGCCTCCAGCAGCTTTACCGCACTTTCCAGCTCGTCCACTGTGTACGCCTTGAAGTATTGTAAGTACGCCAACGACTTCCATCTTCCCTGCCTTGCTATCACCGCAACTGGAGTGCCTAAGTTATAACGTAATGACGCCCCTCCTACTCTAAAGGAGTGACCTGACCATGTGCTGACCCCCAACTTTCCCCACACGTTCTCTACTACTTTCACAAACTTACTCTTGCTCAACGGAATCACCCCTCCTGGACCGGAAAAGGAAAACAGTGCATCATCCTTGTCTGCAGCTTGGTTATTCAATAAGACTCTCTCAATAGCCGAAACTGGGTCGAGAACGTTGAACTGCTGTTGTAGGTGGATCACCTGGATTTCACCTGCCTTTGCTGTCTTCGCCTTCCGTAAATGTAACTTAACGAATTTGACGCCTTTCTTTTCACCAAACTCCACTTGGTTCCTCAGGATGGCTCCGTTTTGCTTTTTCGTACGTAATAACTCCCCCAGCCTAGCCATTCCCCAAAAGGCTACCAAGGCCACTGAACCTGACAAGACCTCCTCTTCTGACTTCCCATAGGTCTCCTTAAACAATCTGAACAACTGGTTGAGTAAGACTGGCTTCTTCTGGGTCACCAATTCCCGTTCTTCTTTGTTCCTTTTGGTGGCATTCAGCAGAAGAGGGACTACTTCTTTGTCGGCTGTGGGTCTCAAGGTGTGCCGCACAATGTGCCACGCTCATATGCCGTCTAGATACTTTTTGGTCGTTACCGCCGCAATTGATCTTGCCGGTCCGTCTGATTTCTCTATCTTCGAGTCTCCTGCCCAGGCAATAAAGTTATAGATGTCTTCATCCTCTATAGGCTGATCTTCTTTGAATCCCCCACAGGTTTTTTCCTTAAATTCTATAAACTTTGACATCCCACTTGAATAACCTCCGAGCGTACCGGTCGCCCATCCACTCGTTGCCGCATGTTTCCCAGCACCGGAAGCCTTCAACTTAGCTGCTTCGAAATGTTTTGGGAGCGGAGTCTTTTCTGCCGGTCTCCTCTCTTGTCTCCTATTAGGCATGAGATGCGATGATTTTGTGACGGGGGTTGACAGATGGGGGCTGATAAGAAGGAATATGGTTCGGGGTGGGCAAGGCAGGCTCTCAGGCAAGTGAAATTTTTCATTCTTGGATTACAAAGGGGATCAAGTCGGACGGAATTCTGACCATTACAACTTTTGATACATGTTTGGAGGAGTCGAACCCCCTCGAAAACAGATCCGCTGTGTTATCCTCTGAACATACTCTCTTTAGCCTTATACAGCAATTCCTTGGGAGCATCTCATCTTGGATCTTGATCCACTCCCGGTTTACCCACCAATTCTTCGATTTACCATTACGTATGGCTCCCTTGGTAACTATGTTATCCGTCAAGCATAGGAGTTCTTTCCCTTCCACTGACATCAGCGATGTGACCATTAGCAGGCCGAGGCGGACTGCCACCGTCTCTGCCCACGCGATGTCTCTTACTGAACCGTCTCTCTCAAGTGAGTCCACATCCCATCCCCTCCTTAGCCAAAACCTGGCCCAGTTTTTGCCAACAATGATTCCTATCCCATAGCTCGTGGACGTGTCTCCTACCCAGCCAATGTTCACCACGTCTGGCCACGGTATCATCCTCCTCAGATCAGCCGTCCTCAGGACCCTATGCCATATCGCCATATCTTCTAAAATCTCTTCGGGGAATATCACGTGCAGCAAAACGGTGTACCCATTCAGACATCCACCAATAGAGAGCCATGCAATGGCACTGCATTTGAGGGTAAACAAGCGAGGCGTGCATCAAGCGGCCAACCATTTTCTCCGTCTCCTTGTAAGTTGCCTTCTTTTCTTTCACAAATTCCTCTATCTGAGCTAGTCTGAGTTTAAGCTTTTCATCTGGGATGCTTACAGTCTTCTCTTTTCCGTCCCAGATCAGGCCCAAGTACTTCTGCACGTGGTTAAACTCGCTCCACTTCTTCTCATTGGTGACTACCCCCAACCGCTTGCTAGCTTCGGCTACCTCTTTAATCGTGGAGCTATTCGATCCGTCGTCGTCCTTAATGAAAAGAGTATTGTCCACCCACCTGAAGCCTGCCTTGAACCCAAACTTAGACATCATCACTAATTTCCAGGCGTCGGCCGCTTGTCCAAACGTGCCACATCCGGCAACTCCTCCAAAGGTAACTCGTGTGTCCAACAAAACGTTCCCATCGAGATCAAGTACCATCAGGTATGGCCACTGTGACTATACCATGGGAATTTGGCGGTAGGCTTTCGCCCAGTCAAAAATGCCCAGTAACAGCGTCCCCTTGCTGTTTATCATGAATCTCGCCACCTTTGAGAAGTTGTCCCAGGACGTCTTGAAATCTTCCTTATCAACGAGGGCGTTCACTGAGTTTATGTAAGTGTCTGTTCGTGGAAATGAGAGATCGTTGATCGGCCTAACCAAGCCGTCCCCATTCACCACCGCTCCTAATGGGTTAGTCCTGAAGAACCCCAGCTTTTGGAAGACCTCTTCTTTAGAAAACAGGCCGAACATCCTCCCCGCCTTCAATTCATTCGCTAGGTTTTCCCTCACTTCTTGTTCTGACTCTTTCACTGACACATGATTGTTCGGGCAGAAATAACGCTTGCCGCTTATTGGCACTTCCGGAATACCTTGGTCAAAACCTTCCTTGAAACCTCTAAGGATGGACGCATGCGATTCTAGCATCCCGGCGTGTCTTAGCTCTCGCCTCCAAACATTGAGATTCATTTCACACGTCACACCCGTAGGCCATTTCTTCGTGTTGAGTTTTATCTCAATGGACCTCACTCGCTGCTCTTTGACTTGCGGGAATAGTTGTGATTCATGAAAGGGCAAGGGGAAAGGAGGAGGGGTTGGTGAGTGGCTGTGGGAAGATCATGGGAAAACCCTTGTCAGGAATGTGCATTCAACAAAATCTCTGTTGTCTCTCAGGTATCACGTCAACCAAATTCGGGTGTTCATGTCATATTACTTCTCATTTCAGACATCAGAAAAAGAATGCCACGCCCGTGGACTTGGGTAGCATACTCACTAGTATCTTGATCGGCCACCTTTCCCATTGGATCTTCGACTCTCATAGCGATTAGGACTCCTGCTACGACTTCTACCCCATTTGGCATCTCTTCTATCACTTCCTCTTCCTCGGTCGTTGTCACCTGACCTCCTACTTGATTGTTCCTTTTTGTTGACCCATTTCCCTTCGGCTCTCAACTTGGCCTCCCACTGATCATTTGGTAACCATGACTTCCTCTTTCCAGAGGACGATCCTTCTTCCACCTTCACGGTTCTCTTCGCTCCCCCAGCCGCCAACTTCACTTTCGGAAGGCCTGATTCCGGATCTAGGTGTTCCTTTACCCCCCCCCGGTGCGTACGGGTTCGAAGTGACTGCCCTTTCTC